GCACGCGGTTGGCACTCTGATGGCTCACTGTAGGTGCTTGATGGCGCGGCGAAGGAGTCACCTGTGACATTCTCCCCCACTCAATTCGATCTACGTCCTCGGAGATCGGCTTCGGCTGGTCCCTTAGAGTCACTGTTGCAGAAGGAGGGTTCTTCTGCTGCTCCTCGAACCGGCTGTCGTCCAAGGCCGAGGTGTATATTTTGGTGGCATGGTTGGGTTGGCTCATTCTATTGGGGTTTCCTATGGCTAAGTCCTTTCCTGGCTGCCTCAAAGTATGTTAGTGGCTGGTTTAGTTTGGCTAAGGGGTAGGTTTGGGCCAAGTAAGGATCAAAATGRTGTTTTGGATTATTAAGGTGTGGATTCCCATGCATTTTCCCCAAGGGTAACTCACAGGGCTACTACGAGAACTAACCTTAGGGATGATGTGAATGTGGTCCCTAGATGGCTTGGGTGGCACTCGCTCTCCCCGGTGGTTGTGGTAGTAGATGTGGGCAAGGTTTGACACGGCCTTGGGTCTTCTTCTGTTGAGCCCACCAATTGCGGGCGCTTGCGGCTTCTGCTGCGAAGTCGACTTCTGCTGATGTGGTTGGTGTTGAAGCTAATGTTGCTGCTAGTGTTGACTTGGGCGTTGGCATTGGCGTTGGCGCTAGAAATGGAACTGTCTTGGGGGTGACTTCTTCTTGGTGACGACTTCCCAACCAGTTCCAGTGTCGATGTGAGGTACTTAACAGGGGTTCTTCCTTGTTGACGCAGCACTGTCTTCATGGTTGCTGGTTTCTTGGTACAACTTTAAGGCTAAAAGCTGCTTCCCAAGTATCTGCAAGGCTGATGAGACAGGAACCATGCAAGGGGAGTGTTCATCCAGAATAAGCAAAATGTTGGTGTGTGGCATAAGTGCTGCTTCCGCCTGCTTGAGGAACTCCACTCTAAGAACAACCTGAAAATCATCCAAGGGAACCACAGATAGATTGATGGGTCCTTTCCATGGTCCAACTCGGAGTTCTACTCCACGGGTCATGCCCTCTACTGCTTTGGCCCCGGAGTTGATAGCCTTGACCCACCCAGTTTATTTGGTGGTGGTCAAGCCGAGTCGCTTTGCCTTCGCAATCAAAATGAAGTTGTGGGTGGCCCCAGTGTCCACCAAGGCTTGGGTCGGCCTCCCGCCGAGGGTAATGTCTACATAATTCAGCCCCTTGTGGGCTTTGGTGGGCCGCTTTGATGTGGCCTCTTTCTTGACCATGGCATTGATGAGTTGGAGGGCACCTACTCTTGGCGCCACTGTGGGTTTCTCCTCATCGCTCTCTTCACTATCGTTGAGTTTGGCGTTGAGGGCAGTTATTTTCTTTCGGGTTGGACAGTCACTCGTCCAATGCTTCCCGTTGCAAAGGTAACAAGGCGCAGGAGGAGGTCTCCTAGTGGATTGGTGGCCCTGGTAGCTTGGGCCTCCTTGTGGCTTCTTCCCTTGTTGGTAATTGTAGGGCTTGTCCGCGGGCACTGGCTTCTCCTTTGTAGAGGTTGATTGTGGATCTCCCCCACTCAGACTCATGGTACCTGGGCTGGATGGTCTTTGCACATCTTCCTTAGGTGTTCTTAGATCAACAAGCTGCTCAACTACGGCCATGGCGGTGGCGAGGTCCTCAACCCCGCGTCGCTGGAGTTCGAGCTTGGCCTATGGCTTGAAACCGTCCATCAAATTGAACAGAAGATCCTTGTCTGACATGTCAGTGATCTCCAGCGTCAAGGCCRAAAACTCCTTGACATAGTCATGTAGTAATTTTTGATGTCTGAGATTCTTCATTCTTCGGCGTGCCAAGTACTCCACATTTTCTGGGTAGAACTACCGCTTGATCTCACGCTTGAATCCAACCCAAGTGTCGATGGTGCGGGTTCCATGTTGAATGTCTTGGCAACACCTACGCCACCATAACATTGCGATATCAGTCAAATACATAGCAGTTGTGCGTACCTGAGTTTGGTTGCCAATGATGCCAATGGCAGAGAAATATTGCTCCAATTACCACAAGAGGTTGTCAAGCTCCCTAGCATCCCGAGCACCCAAGTAAGGTGTTGGCTCTCGGATCTTGATGTTCATGGAAGCTAGGGTGGAGGGAGTGCTTGGTGTGTTGGCCACTGCCCTCTTTAGGAGAGTCATCTCATCTCTCATCTCATCCAATTGCGCTTGAAATCTATCTAGCAAGCCCTGTAGGTTGCTTTGGGAAGGCCCAGCTCCCGAATTCTGTATGGTGGTGTGCATGTCTCTGAAGGCGCCATTGAAACGTCCTAGTTTCACCACTGCATTCTCAACCGTCTCTAGGTTGAGGTGGAGTTCATCAACCCGATCTTGGGTTTCTCCCACTGTCACCTCGCAACGTAGGAGGCGCATGTCCACGGTAGCTAGTTGGTCGACTGATTTGTCGTGCTTGCTATCTTTAGTTGTACGCCCCTTTGGGGCTTGTGTCTTGGTAGGTTCGTCAAGTGGAGCGTCATCAGTGTCATGGGCTTGAAGCCGCCCATGCGATGTGTCATCGGCAATGCCCCGATTTCTCTTCATTGTGTTGATGTAGGGACGAAGACAAGGTCCAGAGTATGTGTAGGAGCTCCTGCTCTGATACCAACTATCACGGGGGTAATCGTTGGGGCCCCGTGCGGCACTCGAAATGGGCGAGTAAACCTACGAAACAAAGCAAACACACACAAAAAGGCAACAAGATGGCACATGAATTAGCAAAAGGCTATTTGTATTACATCAATCAGTGGTAAGCACAAGCACACAGTACAGTGTCGAGGGGATCTCGTGCTTAACCTTTACACGCTTATGAGCTCACTCGACTACCTACCTCCCCTCAAAGAGTACGTTAAGCTTTTGGGGGAGTGACAAAAGGAAACATCAAAATGACGGAAAAACATACTAAGTAATTACAATAACGACATTGGCAGTCCCCCTTACAAAATACAAGCAAAGCCCACCCATGACACACATGTTGACACCATGAAAGCACGCAGTTGACACTCTGATGGCTCACTGTAGGTGCTTGATGGCGCGGCGAAGGAGTCACCTGTGACACAAAGGCATCCAACCGACCACCTGCGGTCAGCTTCATCTACGGCGACCAGTGTTGATTTTGCAGCAGGTCCAGCCGTCCAACAGTAACAGTTACGGCAATAACAAATCCGGCGATTTTGCAATGGCAGGCAGGGGTCTCTAACGGTAATAACAGTTGCAGGCTTGCAGCAGCAATCACGTGTGACCAAGTCCAAGCCCACTGGCCGCGAGCCCACCGTCACACCACCATTACCGGCAGTGACCATCTTTGTTGCTAGTGCCATAGCGGGGGCAGTGATAGCCAAGCTTGAGCATGTCAAGGAATTCATAGCTCAAAAACGCAAAAAATTTGCAGTCCCAATTAGCCCAAAAGCTACCGCAGTGCGAACCATCAGAAAATTGCTAGTTTCTGGTTATCGTACGGTCTCACTGTCTGGACCATGATCTTTCTGAGCCTCTTGCAAAGACCTTTGGTGTTTGAGACCTTATTGATGGTGGTGGCAATTTTGAAACTTGATAGATTCTGATTCCCTCCGGTGATACAAATTACAAGCTTAACTGATTTTCTGTAGCTTCCTGCACTGCCTCCGTTGGTTGCTATCGCCGGTTTAATTGAGCGCTTAGTCCTTGGCATTGGAATCTTGGTCATCGTGACCAATGTTGAGTTCATCCACACACATGCTGTGATTCACCTTCTTTTGTCACTTGGCATCAGATTACCTCTAATTCTTTTTCATGCAGTCTTTGGAATTAGAGATGATGATGAGGATTTCCAGAGTAAAGCTAATTGAACTCAGTCTCAGATTCTCAATTTATGGATATAGGATGATCTAGTTTTATTCTGTATTTTTTCTGTTTTTATTTAATTTTATGTTATTTTTTATTTTTAATTTATTTATAACATCACAGGTCAAACCATTCAACCCAAACGGTTGAACCGCTTAACCAGAAACCGGTCCCCTAACCGGTTCTGTTTCCGGTTCGCTTTTAAAAACCTTACTAAGCCTAACTGGCTAACTGCAGAGTTCTGACGAGGCAGGAAACCTAGTTCGATAGCAATTACATACTGACACCTGATACCAACTTATAGATATCAATACCAATTAAAAAATCACTACTTCTATAATTCTGGAGTGAAGATCCAGCAGGAGCGGTCAACATTAGTAGGATCAAATAGCGTTCAAGCAATAGAAAGGATTTATAGTAGTGTTGCAGGAGAAAACAAAATAATGGCGAGGGACTAATAATACAGTCAAAATAAACACAATTACAAATTACAAAAATACAGTGAGAGAAAGTGCAAAACCTAAAATAAGACAACGTTAAAGGAACATTTTTCCCAGCCATACAAAAGAGCTTACTCTTACTGGTCTCAGGATTCCCAAACGAATGGCGAAAACATTGGCAAGCATGGGTTGTGCTGGAGCTGGAAGAAATCTTTCGGCCAGGCTATATCAATAACTGTAGACCATAACCTGATCGTTTAACTATCATTCTTCTTCTATCACATGATTCCACAGTTTTAACACTGGCAAGCATGCATCAGAGAGGAATTTCCCGGTTCCCAAATGAACTCTACCCCCCAAATAACAAGACCGAAGAACAAGATCAACTAGTATATATGAATAAGTCTATAAATTGACTAATAAACACCGCCTAAACAGATCACAATTACGATGAATTAGCCCCAGTTCCATATGCAGATCCAAAACTTGAAATCCCAACCCATAATTTAATAGGTAAGTTAATGCACATCATAGTGTGAGCTCCGCAATTCTTTCCATTTCATGCATTGATCATATTAAACTGGAATCTGGACAACTGCTGTGGGATGGTAGAGATAACTGGCCCATATCTCTGCAATAAAGAATACAAGTATTTCAAGCCAGATATATATATTGAAAATTAGGATAATATTTTTCCAAGAAAGAAGAATAACAACTAATCATTACAGGCAAGAAGAATAACATAAGTATTTCAAGCGGGATATATATTGAAAACTAGGATAATATTTTCCAATAAAGAAATATAGCAACTAATCATTACAGGCAAGAAAACAGGGTTAAGTTCAAGAGCCAAATATACCACCATGGGGCATGGATTGTGATAATCATAACTAAGGTGTTTGATATCATTGCATTATGTGGCTGTTTCTCCACCATGTCAGAGACACATAGATGATTAGACCTTACCAAACCATAATCCTGTTTTGTTTGGGCTGATCAGGTATAAACGTTTGTATTGCTTCTTATCTCGGGTTATGTGAAACTCATTTTTAGAGGAAACATCATTTAGCCATTTCCTGCATAGGGGAGGCATTTCCTCCAAATGTTGAATAGTAGTTTGTGCCAAGCCCATTTTTTCCCAATTTCCAATGCATAAATAAAGTATAAACACAATGGTCAATTGGCCATATTGTCACAAATACCGAATGCCCACTAAAATATCCTTCAGATAAGATATCTACATAAAATGTTTAAACCATATAATTTTAAAGCACACTCTAGTCAAAGTAGATACTTGTATTTTCCCGAAACACGAGGTTATATATCCTCCAATATAATACTCAATGCACCATTGTCCTTTCTATGAAAGAAACAGTTTTACAGATTCATTGTACAAATTGAACTCAAAGGTGAGGTGCATTTCAAGGTCTGCACCTTGCCTAGGCCCAGGCGCATCTCCTTTGAAAAGGTGCACGCCTAGTGCTCCTAGGCATGTGTCTGGTGCATCTTGCACCTCAGCTTAGGCATGCACTTTTTTTGCACCTTTGTTAAAATGTGTGCTTTTTGCCATTTTCTGAAAATCCCCTATTTGTTAAGGTTGTTCATCCATTCTTCCTAATAAAAGATATTTTTTAAAAGATAATTAAAATTATAAAACCATTTTTGAAGGATTAAGAATTTAAGACACTAACATGGACTTGTTTGGACTTGCCTCAAGGGGCTTGGTACAAAAGCAACTTGTAGAAATGTAGAATTAGGAATTAAAGATGTTTAACATCACATTGGTTATTTGAAATAATGCAATTGGAAGGAGATAAAGATTTGAAAGTTTGACACACTTGAATATTTTTTATATGCTATATTTGATTTTGTTTTTTTATTTTCACTTTAAATATGTTTTATATGCTATGTTTATGTATTTTAATTTGAGCTAATAGCCTAATAGAATTTTTAAAACATCCAGTTTAAAATTAAAGTTTGCATTTTTATTAATTAATACTTTTTAATAGTTAATACTTCTTGATTTATTTGAATGTTTTACATTTTTTTGCATTTTGTGAATTAAAAAAAATACACCTTGCTTCAAAAAACAACACACCTTGACTTGCACCTTGTGCCCCAGGCACAAAGTGCCCTTGGAGCTTTTTAGCAACTTGCACTTTTAAAAGATTAACAAGTTACAGATTACAGACTGGTCCTGGACAACCCCACTCTAGATGATCCTTTGATACTAAAGCTCCAGCCAATGGGTCAGCCATCATATTGGCACTTCTAGGTATCCAGTTGAATGAGGTGTTCAAGGGATCCCTTAGGGAGAGTGCCTGCCTTACTAAAGGCCTCATCCTCCAAGGTATTTCTTCTCGATTCTTTAGCCAAGAGATAACTGTTTGGCAATCTCAAAATGATTGACATTGCAAGATATCAAGCTAGAGATGGTTAGAGAAATGTTCGTGGAATCGATCAAAGGTGCTCTTGAGAGTGTGAAATGATTAGAGAAATGTCTGGTTAGTCATTTTGTCAACTCTGAACCTAACAAAGTGGAGGTTCTAAGATGGGTCAGATCGGAGTGGAATTTGAAAGACGTTCAGGTGAGGAAGCTAAATGAAGGCTTTTTTTTCTTTCTTCTAAGATGGGTCGTCGGATCTCAGGCTGGGAAAATGAAACCCACTGGTGGGGGCAATCCGAGAAGTGGGGATTAGGAGTTTTTGTGTGGATTAACGTTTTCAGGGTTCCTCTTCATGCCTGGAATCTGCAAACATTTTGTGCTATGGGAAATGCCTGCAGTTGCTTCAGAAAAATTGATGCTCGAACATACAAGATGAAGAATCTGGTAGCAGCAAAAAATTCTGATCAAAGTTGAGGATATTCATTTGGTTCCATTGAGTCTGGCATTAAACTTTTCAGGGAAGTGGTATGATCAGAAGCTGGTGATTGAGGGTTGTATCCCATTTCGCTGGTTAGAGGAGGTATCAGTGATTTTGCTGGACTGAACTCAAGAATTTGAATGTCTTGTAGAGGAAGGAGGGGAGCTGATAGGGCAGGAGATCAGATGGCTAAAGGAGGAAGAGGATGGAAGTCAAAGAGTCAGGGAGTTGGATAGTCATGCGGAGGATAGAGATGTGGATCAGGAGAGGTTGGGAGGGGAAAAAGGAATTTCATGGGAAAGGGATGAGAGGACATTAGTTAATAATGGACACATAGTGGGAGAACTTAATGAGGGGGATATTTTTGAAGAGGCCAATGGGGCTTTTTCGAGAATGGTATGGGAGCAGTTAATAAGTGCTAAGTGGGGCCAGATTTTTAAGGAAGAAAGGGGTTTCTCCTTTGGGAGGTTCCTCAGCAACTGCGAGGAAACCTTGATGTTTTAAAGACAGGGGTTTAGATGTGAAATAATTAATTACCTTTAAGAAACATGGGGCCCTCTATAAAGTTACAGGTGTGATTGGAGTTCGATGAGGAAGAAAAAAAGAGTAGGTGTTGGGCGGTTTCTAGATCTATGCAATCTTCTCTTCAAAAGGCAGGCTCGACCTTTGGTTTTTTGGAGGCTGCAGGTTATGGAGATTCCATAAATGTTGGTTGTCATGAGAATCAGGTGGCTAATTTATGATCAGCGGAACTTCTTCATGGTAACCTGGTCGAGGTGAGGCCCAATGCTCTTTCTCTTGTGTCAACCGAAGGTTCACAAGGGTCATGTTCTATTTCTTCTACCACATTGATCCCGGAGAATAGGGGCTTAGTCGTTGATTTGAATGGAGTAACAGAGGGATGGAGATGGGAGATGGGGATGTGAGTGCACTTAGGGTGGAGGCAGTGGAAGAGGTGGTGAACCGTGAACAGTGATCTCAAGGACAGGAAGAAGGGAGGAGGCATAGGAGGTGAGGGTAAGAAGGTGAACATAATCAAAAACTTGAATCAAGATGTTTTGTTAGGGGCAACTCCGACTATTTGGTCTCTGAAATGGCCATTGAAAGGTTGGGAGTTCATTTGGGTTGTAGGGGGAAGGAGAATGTTTTGGCTGAAAGTGTTGACGCTTAGGAGGTTCCAAAGAAGTCCAGAGTTTCATGCAAGTTTAATGCTGTGCATGTCACCAAGGTCTTTTCAAGGCTGGCCTGGTTCGAGCAGGGCCAACTAACAAATATAAAAGGATTTATAATAGAAGAGGAGTTAAATACAAACCTCTTAGTATCAACTATTGTGAACCCTAAATCCTAGTGTGGAAAATTGATTGTTACAAGGAGCTGGGAAGAAGAAACTTCCGGCAGATCCTCGTGGGGTGGAGTCAAAAAAGGATGATGTGTTAGAGGAGAAGAACAGTAGAAATGGAAACGAAGTTAAAGAGGTTTCTGTTGAGGCATTGTCAAAGGGGAAGGAGGGAAGCTTGGATTTGAAGAAATTAGTCGATAAAGTGGTGGAAATCGGCAAGTCTTTGGGCTTATTTTTCTTGGGAGGTAAGAGCTTTTCTAGGAGAGCTTTCAAAGTGTTTGAGAGGAAGAGGAAGGATTGAATAGACGATAGAAATTGATCCTAGGAGAAGCTGGGCATGGAAAGAATATTAATTGAGGTTAAGGATAAATCCTCTATCCTTCATAGTATGTTTCTAACATTTGCAGGAGAAAGATATCAGTTACGGTTGATAATAGAAAGGGAGGATTGTAGGCTTTTTGGGAAAAGGAAGGAGATGTCGGTAGAAAATTAGAAGAACATAGAGGAAGGAGGAAAAGGGAGGGGGTGGGTTCGGATCAGAAGCCTCAGGCGACAAAGGAAAGGAAGAGGCAGGAGAAGAGAGGAAATTAAAGAGGCAGGCTAAGGAAGAAGAGGAAGAAAAGAATGAGTTGGCTATGGAGGATTCAAGTGTTGGTTATGTGGCCAACTCAAATCAAAGTGGAAGGGCGGATGTGGTCCACATGGAAGAGAAGGAAGACAAGGAGACAAGGGGTGGTCGGCCAAGAGAAATTAGTGGTGGGGACCGCCATTTGAAAAAACTAGATAATGAAGGGTATATTAGAACAAGCAGCATAGGAAGATTGGGTGTGGCTGATGGCAAGATGTGAAGCGGGGAAGAAGATTATCACAATTGAAGACGGTGATGATTTGAAATGAAAGAAGAGGAAGGACTATATTGTCAAACAGCAAATGAGAGGACTATCATAGAATGTTGAGGAGGTAAAATCCAATGTTTAGGAAACTGGACCGGACCGGTTAAACTGTGACCTAGGACCTTGGTCAGTTCGGTCATACCCTAATAACTGTTTTGCTAAAAACCGGTTAACTGGTCCCGATTTCATGAAACCGCCTAGATCCTTCAACAAAATTTTAAAATGTGATTAAACAAGACTTGGACCCATGACCTCTTGTTTTTATATATTGCTTAATTACCACTAATCCACCTCTTTACTCATGTTAATTAATGACTTTTTATTGTACATATTACTTTATTATGCACTTATTTTAAAGAGAATGTAAATTATGAGACTTGAACCCTAGTCATTTGCTTTAACTTGAAGTTATTGCTGTTAGCATCACTTTTAGGTTGAAAAATAACCCAGAAATCAAAAGAGAAGAAAGGAGAAGAAAAGGGAAGAAAAGAGAATAAGAATAGGAGAAGAATGGGGCAAAAATGTTCTATTACTGCCACCCTAAGCTGTATTATTTATATGTGTTTAACATAACATTAGGTAAAAGGACAAAAATGCCCTGCTACCCATAACAGTACAAGAAAGCAAACATAAAGCTAAAAATAAGCAACAAAATAACTGAACTTATGGGACCACAAGTAAATATATCAGGTCACTGTATTACTACACTCCCCTCTCAAGTTGGAAATAGATGTTGATCATTCCCAACTTGCACAAATCTGATTCCAATTTGACTTTGGTGACCGCTTGGGTGAAGAGATCAGCAAGCTGCATATTAGAGGCAACATAGGGCAAGCAAACATCTTGAGATGCAACTTTCTCTCGAATGAAGTGGCAATGAACCTCAATATGTTTAGTTCTGTCATGCTGGATGGGGTTGTGAGCAATATTAATGGCAGCTTGATTATCACAATACAACCTCAATGGCTTCTCATACTCAATCCCTAATTCCTCAAGAAGAGATCTCAGCCATAACACTTCAGCCACACTATGAGCCACTGACATGTATTCTGTCTCAACACTTGAACGAGCAACAACATTTTGTTTCTTGCTACTCCATGACACTAAGTTACCTCCAACAAAAGCACAGTACCCTGAAGTTGATCTTCTATCATCAACACATCCGGCCTAATCAGCATCAATATACACCTTGATTTTCATATGACCATTGTTTTTAAAGAGTATACCACGACCTGGACATCTCTAAAAGTAAGCAAGGATTCTTTCCATAGCCAATAGATGAGTGGTTCTAGGAGAATGCATGTATTGGCTAACAACACTAACAGCATAGGAGATATCAAGACGAGTAAGACATAGACAAAAGAGCTTTCCTACTAACCGTTGGTACATGGCTTTGTCTTCAAAAGGCTCACCCCCTTCGGCACTTATCTTATGATTCAATTCAATAGGTGTGTCTACTGGTTTAACTCCTAGTTTCCCAGTGTCCTCAAGGAAATCAAGGGCATATTGCTTCTATGAAATGAAGATACCATGTTTAGAGCGGGCAACTTCAATTCCCAAGAAATATCGCAGGTCACCAAGGTCTTTCACTTCAAATTCTCAACTTCTAGGAGAAGATCGGGAGAAAGATTTTGGAGATGGTGGGGTTACAAAACTGTGAGATAGAGATTTGAAATTGTAATTGTTTTTGTTCTATTTGGTGAGATGGAAGATTGAATTGAGTTTCACAAGAGTTTCAAGGTGCTGCTATCGTGGTGCAATAGTGGTTTTTAGTTTTTCTTTCTCTCCCTGTAAATTGTTCTAGAGTGGGTGATAGGATTTTTTGTTGAGTTTGTGGGGTGTTACCTTAATACCAATAGGTTGTATTCAGTTTTTTCTTTCCCTTAATATAATTTTCCTTTTTACTTATCCAAAAAAAAACATTAGGACTACTTAGATAATAGCATAAGGTTGTGGATTCCCTAAATTACAATATTCTAAAATCAAGTGAAGGTGCATGCTTTTTTTATCATTTTTGCTAAAAGTGAAAACCAACATTCTGTTTAATATGCAAAGTATGAACTCTTAATTCAACTAAGCCTTCTCCCAATTCCCAACTATATGGGGTCAGATACATGAATCCTGTTCTGCCATTCCGCTCTGTTTAGTGCAATATCCATTGTCATGGGGTCCTTACATTATTTCTTTATAGGAACATAAACATTTATAATTCATTGGATTGCCTTAACTTTGGCAAATTGTATACCATGAATCATGAGTCAATTTATGCTACCAAATTTGTGGTTCTCTGGGGGATACAGCAAATAAGACAATAATGGTATCATCTCCTAAAGCAACATCTATTCTCAGATATCCCTGATATGCATGCCCTCATGTCCATGATTAGGTTGCACAGGATAAAGTAACACAGTACTATCATCATACCTGAACATTATCATAGAGCTCAAATAATGGGACTGCAAGCAGTTTTAGGTTTTTTGGCACTGCAAAGTACTCTCTCTCAGACAAGTGAACAAGGAATAGCTTCTTACATTCCTGGAACAAGAAATCATTTGGCTCAGCAAAGTCCACAAAGCTTCCGATGTCAGAAATGTTGGGCAAAGAATTTACCTTAGGTTTTGTGATATGAGGAGGGCAGTATGGGTACATAATAGTTTCAAAGTTTGGCCTCCACCAGATAGCTACACACTCTCCAATCTGCAACAAGATCCAATCAGTGACTTTCATCAAACCACATGGTGGACAACAATAGCAAGGCATCAATAAAACAAGCATTGAAAAAATGAGTATGTTCAGACAAATGAATGGCACAACTAGAAAGAACAGAACAATAAATGAATGAATCCATGGGCAACTATGGGTAACCCCATAGGTGATAACATGAGGCAACATACAACGAGACAATTTTCCATTTCCATTTTTTTATCAATAACAGCAACAATTTTAGTAATGCAGATGAGGAACAAGTACAATATGGAGGGAGAAGGGGTAAGCTCTCTTAACTCTCTCCATAAATAAAAATAAAATCAGATTACAACACAGCCCATAATAAATTGTCCCTTCCCACCCCTTGTTTTGCAAGCACATCAGCAAAAGAATTAGCACTCCTCTTTTTTTATAATTGAATTGAATTGTGATTTTATTAATCAGGAAATGATAGATAGTACAAGCATCCCAAGGAGAGGCACATGGTGCAACCTCTCCTTAAAAGAAAATTACAGAAAAAACAGTAGTGAAAAGATTACAAAACAGCCCAGTATAAGATTTCCCTGTTGCCCCTTGTTTGGCAAGACAATCAGCCAACACATTTGCCGACCTTCCCACCCAGTGTGGGCTGATATTCAAGTTTCTAGTTAGCCGCTTAGTTTTCTTTAGCACGTATCTGTAGCACCAAACCACTGAGTCTGAATCTGCCAGCCACCCCACAACAACTTTAGAATCTCCTTCAAGTATTAGGTTTTCCACCCCAAGTTGATGTGCAATTAGAATACCTTGTAGGCTGCTAACAGTTCCACCCTATTAAAGTCTCCCAAACCCACTAGGCCAGAGAATAGGGCTAAGATGTTACAGTCCTTATCTCTAAAGACCCCTCCTATTCCAGAAGGTCCTGGGTTACCCTGACAACTTCCATTAAAATTCATCTTTACACATCCTTCAGGAGGAGGAACCCAATCTGCAAATATCCTACCTTTCCTGGAAGAGAAAGCTGCTACAGCTGACTAGTTCCTCCAAAGGTCATCAAAGGAAAAGGGTTGGAAGGAGTCCATAGTTCTCAACCAAAGTATTGTTCTTGTCAAAATGCAGTCCTTGACATTTAGGAAGCTTCTTTCATTTTCTTGAAAAATTCTTGCATTCCTCTCTCTTCCAGCTTTTTTTATCAGCACCACAAAATTCAATTCATTATACTAAAAGGCAATTACAGCAAGAAGTTGTGCACAAAAGCAAGAAGCTCAAAAGAAACTATCCCACTATTTACAAAACAGCCCAGAACATAGATTGTCTCTAAATTCCTTCTTTAGCTAAACCATCAGCCTAGCTGTTTGTAGATCTCCTAATCCACCTTATTTGGATAAACATGTCTTTAGATATCCGCTTGAATCGCCTGAACTCATTCCTTAGCTTCCATATTACCCCTTTTCCCCTTTTTCAGCCAACTCACAACAATTTTTGAATCCCCTTCAATAATCAGCCTGTCAATCCCCAATTCTTTAGCTTTTTCTACTCCATACACTGCTGCCATCAATTCTGATCTCACCACAATATCATGCTAAACAGGACCTAAGTACATGGCTAAAATATTTCCATCCTCCTCCCTTGTTACCCCACCAATACCCGAGGGGCCAAGATTGCCCAAACAACTGCAATCAAAGTTCAATTTCTTCCACTCAGCATCTAGAGTAGACCAAACCTCATGTACTAATGTCTTCTGGATTTAGAGTCAACAATTGTTCCCCACGAACTGAAGAAGTCTTCTACCTTAAAGTCAGCAAACAACTTTAAGGTTTTCACCCAATGTGCCACCCTTACAGTTATTATGTCAATCATAGCTTCTTTGCTTCTTTCCTTGTCATCAAAAATTCTTAGGTTTCTTTCTTCCCAAATTGTCCAAGCCACTGCTGCTCTAGTGCATCTTCCCACAATCCTACCTCTTCTTTTAGAGCACCTGAAAGTGTGAGAACTAAAAAGACCTTCCAAACCATCAGGGAAGTCCATCTACAGCCAAACAAAGAGGAAAACCACACCCAAATAGAGTTAGAAAACGTACGCGAGATTAAAATAGAGTTATGCAAGCTGCATGGTGACAGGAGAGGGGAGGAACTGAGACACAACCTTCTTTTTAAACAAGGAGATGGAGTAAAGAGAGGGGAAAAGGTCCTTGAGAACTGAATTACCCACCCAGATGTCTTCCCAAAATAAAACAGAATTACCAGAACAAGCATCATGTTATGGACGCATTCGTGGGGAAGAAGTACCGCCGCCGGCAGCAGCAGTAACGTGGGACCCTCATCAGATTATCTAGCTAGCCACAGTTCATC